ATTTTGTATTTTGATGCATATATCCATAACTGCCATTGCTAGGTTTTGTTCTTGCGTTTTAGGGATTTATCATACAGGTGAAATTGGCCTAAACAAAGGGTACCATTGTACTCGTGAGGTCAAAAAAAATTGATTGGTGTAAGCCATAATTGATTTATCATGCCTGTGTTGGATTTTTGAGATTTACAGGTTTTTAGCCATGGAAGATGTCTGTGGGTATAGATTATGCATGTAATACGACAGAGGAGGAAGAAGATAATAACGTGTCTGAACCCCATTGGACCATTTGAATTGCGCGCGTGTTTTCCAGCTAACCCTCATGTTTTATATATTATTCATTATTATTGTTGTATAACAAATAAGCAGGACAACACATATGGTAGGGCGCGTTGGTGGTGAGTGTGAGGACCTGGGTTCGATCCCAGGTCCCAACATTTTATTTGTTTTAATTCTCCAATGCAGGATCCTGTGTATCTCCCACTTAAGCGTTCACCATGCACTACCATCATCCATCCAATGGATGCACCTCTATCCAGATCCAATGCCTACCATTGAAGGACCAGGGTGCACCATTAGAAGAGCATCACATGGGATTCAGCGCAGGGATTGGGCTGGCCAGTTATTGGGCCCATCAAATTCAGAATTGCACACCCCTATTGTTATTTCCTCCAGGCCCAATTTAATTCTTTTTTTATTTCTTTTATTTGTTTTATTCGTTTAATTATTTTTTTTACAAAATTAATCATTTTTTTTATTAATCATAAAATCACAAAATCACAAAAAATATAGAATTAGGTTTTTATTTATTTAAATTAATTTTGTTGTAAAATAAATTAGATTGATTAGATTCATTTGATTGCTTTTTTTTTAATTAAAATTAATTAGACAAATTAGGTATAATTTGGAATTAAATTATTTTCTCAAATAAAAAAATACAAAAAAATATTTTAATTAATTAGATTTTTAGGACTTTTTGACTTATTCTCATCTTAATTCTTCGCGCGTTTATTTCCTTCCGTACCCTTTTTTTAATTAATGTAACTGTTGATGGTTTGTAATAGTTTCAAATTAGGGTTATTTATTGCTCTTATTTCCCCAATTTTGGTTATGTAATCCCCATCTCCCGAGGCCCTGTAATAGTTGGGGTTTCTATTTCCGCACTTTAAATTCCTGCAATTTTTAACTGTCTAGATGCATGGCTAATAGGATTGTATGGAAAGAATACTTGAAAATTAATACGGTAGATAACCCTAATTGTGCAAAGACTAAATTAACTGAAACATAAACATATGCACATGTTCACTCCTAGGATTTGCCTCACTTCGGTTGCCTTCGGTAAATAGTCACTAAGCATAGGGAATTTTAGTGGTTGCCCGCCAGTCTAAAAGATCAAAAATGACCCATTCGAATGTTACATCGGAAAGATCTTTAGGACTTTAGGGTAATTACTAAGGTTTCCTAGTCATTGCTTTAGTGACTGTATTTGTCCCTTTCGAACGTCCCTTAAAAACTCCAACGACGGAGCTACCTACTCCTTAATAGTAGGATAGCGCTGTCTAAAGGAAATGAGAACGAACATTTCTTTTTCGAGTAGGTAGAAATCTTAAGTACTTGCTCAAAAAATTTTTTTTCACGCAAACACTTTTCAAAACAATTTTCAAAAACAACTTCGTCACACTCTTGAGGACTGATACAAGGGTTATCACGAAGTAAAACTTTTCAAAACAAACACACACAAGCAATTTCAAAAATGAGCAAGTACCTAAGAGCCCATGGAAAACCATGGATAGAATCGTTTCTAACACCTCCCCTTTCTATAATCTACCCCCCGTACTCAGAAATATTCTCGAAAAAAGGTTTTTTCTGTTCTTTTTCCTTTTCCTTTGTTGGATGAAATAAAAATCAGTGGCAACTCTTGCTTACCGCACATTTGCGAATACAAAACGCAAACCAGTATTAACAGTCGGTTCTGCCACCGTATCACACATCCCATAAAGGTCCCTGAGAAGTGAGCTATGCATTGTTGAAGTTGGCTCCATGGAATCTATTTTTGCTTCAAGTCAGAATTTTTTACCACGAGTAAACTTGGATTACAAGTAAAATTACTCAAGGTTTAGTTTCTAAACATGTTTAACTAATTGTCCAGATGTGTTTTGACAAAAATTTCACTTAACATGAGGTTGTTTTGAGGCATTTCAAGTCACACTTTTGTCATGATCAGGGTAAACTTGATTTAAATTGATTGCTTACTGTTCACCCTCTCTCAGCATCGCATCACATTCTCCTATAAATAGAGACCTACTCTATTTTATTTGAGAAGCTTTAGAGAGCCAAGAACCTCTGTTGAACTTCCTTCATACCTCTCAATTCTACAACTTTGAATTTGATTCTAAAGCATTTTTCAACCAATTTATTTGCTGATTCTTCATCCTAGAACTTCCCTGAAGCTAACAGAAGAAGAGCCAAGCCCTGAGGTGCCCTAAATCGTGCTAGCTAAGTCAAGTTTCAGAGCTTTGAATTTAAATTTCAACAGGTAGATTTCTCCATCAATTCTCTCCAAACTTGTTGTTACAATGTAGCTCTCATCACTTTGATACTGGCCGCATCATTTGTTTTTAACTGCAAGTGAGTTTTCCTCATGAATTTTCAAATCCCTTTCCAAATTTTTTATTTTGGTTTTCTTCAAATCGACTGAGCTATTGTTTATATAAATTTCTCGCGAGGGTACCATTGGAATCGTCTTGAAGAGACGAAGCGAATGATACCAGTCTGAACTCTTGATTTTACAGTTTGTGAGACCTACAATTCACGTGTGGCAGGAGGTTGAAGATGACCAGCGTGTCATCTCTCAACCAATGACATGATGCAACACATTTTTTTAAATCTGTTTTTTAATTAATGATCAGGTGGTTTACTCACTAATGTTCATATCATGCACAATGCGTCTGATCCTTTGGATTAACTTACTAACGCGTTTTGACAATGATCCAATGGTCTACATTTTTTTTGGTTTTATTTTTATTTTCTGATATTATATTTTAATTGTTTTAAATTTCAAAAATTGATAAAAAAATTCATTGCAACTTCAAAAATTTTGAAAAAATTCTCAAAAATACTTTTGATTTTTCTCTTACCGATTCTTATTTTTTCACAATTTTATTTTATCATTTGGTGTTTTTTTTCCTGTTTTTTGACATTATTTGATTTGTTTTACTTATTTAAAGTTTTTTTCTTGATTTTTAAATTCTGAAAAAATTATGAAAAGATCCAATGACCTCTTCACAGTCAGAAGCTCTTTTACTAACATTTCTTAGAACTGCTGCATGAGACACATTCCTTAATCTTGAATTAACTTGTAACACACCAAAGGTATTCTTCCAGAGTGTTAAGTTCAGAACCTGATGATGTCACATGCCTTCTTACCATAGTCAAAACCTACATGACCAAATCCACACACTAGATAAAAACTTGTTAGAGTATACAATTGTTCTTAAAGATAACATGTAAGGTTATTATTAAAACATAAGGCTAAATGTAGAACAGACTTTGTTCTCACAGAAGGATGTGACATTGTACTATCTCTTTACGTGAGACCTTTGATCTTCTCTTATAATCTCCAGATGCTCCACAATATGTATGAGTTGAAGCATGTTTAGAAGGATCAAAACCAGTTTTCAGAACCTTCGTCTTTAGAGTCTTCAGAACTTCGTTCAACATGACCTTGTCTTTAGAGTCTTCATCATGCTGGTCTTCAGAGCTGTATCTTCAGAATCTTCAGAACTCGTTCAACAGAACTTCACCTTCAGAATCTTCAGAAACGTTGGAGCAAGAGAGCTTTGGAATCTTCAGAGCTTGAGAACCCTTCAGAAGCTCTACTATTAGAGTCACAAATAGAAGCAATAAAATGAATGTTCATTAGAATCGTTGTTTTAAGAAGCATTTTAAGCAATGACACATGCACTTGTATCACTTAGTATGTTTAATCCAGAACCTGATGACGCCATACATCAATTCTTCATAGTCAGAACTTGTTAGCAAAAGCTACACACTAAACAAACCATTGCGGAACTAAATCGTTATCTAATCACCCATGTAATGTGATAATTAAAACTCAAGGCCAGATGAAAAACCAAATCTTGTTCTTACAATTTATATGTAGGTGCCTCTCATACTAGGTATGATGTGATATACTACAATAAGCACATGTGGTGCCTATCATGTTAAGACATTATGTGATATATCACTTAACTTATAAAATGTTAGAGTACCTCGTGCAATCTTGTATGCATAAAATGAAGTAAATATAGCATGTAACCTTAGGGCTTTGTTTTAGTAACAAACCCAATAACTGTTATGACTCCTAAGATAGGAGAAATCCACTGAAATAGTTGTTTTCACCCCTCTTTTTTATAATGATTACATGTGATTAGATAGTTGCTAAGGGTAAAGCAAGAAGACTTGAGGACACTTTATAGAAGACTTTACTTTAGTATATTATATGGGTTTCCACTATACTTTATTATGATATTTTAGATCTATTATGTCTGTACCGTTTTGGCATACCATGTATTGGATGCTTAACTTATGTACAAATGTAATCCTTTACTATTGTATTATCTTTTGTATCGAAATTTTAGCAACTTAAATATGTGATTCTAGATGTGCATTATTTGGGTTGTTACACTCTTTTTTAGGTTGTTACACATTATTTTTACATATCTGACAGTATGCATCATATTACTTATCAACCTTTTATTTCTCCCAATAAGAGATTGGTCTCTGAGCATCAAAGAGGAATAACATCTTTATATATAAAAACCTAAGATAATATGCAACCAAACTTTCAAAACCTTAACCCCAATATACATTACACCTTTGACCCTTTTGAGATCCTCTCACATAGCATACTAAATCACATTTTTTCACATTATTGTAGCTAAACATAAGATAAAGAAACCTAGAGTGTATCTCAAAAAAGAAATTTTTTCAAAAGTTAATGTCTACATTCGGAAACATGATGAGTAAACATTAGGCGAGAGTCTGGGCTTAGGGTACACAGATAATGGCACATCTCGTTGAAGAGTAATCCCAAAAGCTTCATCCATGTTCATATTTTCAACTCTGAGCCCATTCTCAAGTTCCCAATTAAACGAATGTGCCAATGTAGCAGTTAAAAGTTGAACCATACGAAGCCCAAGACTCATCCCAACACAAATTCTTCGTCCAGCTCCAAAAGGTATAACTTCAAAATCATTTCCCTTAATATCAACATCACACTTGTCACCACCTGGTAAGAATCTTTCGGGATTGAATACTAATGGGTCAACCCATTTTTTTGGTTCACGAGCTATGGCCCATACATTAACCAAAACTGTTGCACCTTTTGGAATATGGTACCCAAAAATCTCACAACTTTCAGAAGCAATTCTTGGAAGTGAAAGAGGTGTTGATGGATGCAAACGAAATGTTTCTTTTATGACTGCTTGTAGATAAGGAAGGTTAGGTATGTCCTCTTCTTTCACGTTTCTATCTCGGCCCACAACATTGTCCAGTTCTTGTTGGACTTTAGCTAATATTTTTGGATTTTTGATCAATTCTGCAATAGCCCATTCTGTAGTGCTTGATGATGTATCTGTCCCAGCTGCAAACATATTCTATACAAATAATCAAACAACTTGTAAGTATATATGTTTCGTAAAAACTTCAATATCAAAGTATATTATTATTTATCCCCCTATATATAACTCAATTGTTAGTTACCACCCAATATTTTTTATAAAAATATTTGTTGATTTTTGTTTAACAAAATATAAAGTTATTATTTTTTAATACAAATAAAAAGTAACTTGTCCACAATTGTACATAGTAGTTTTTTAAATAGAGAGAGGATCATAATAGACATTAAAACTTTTTAAAAAATTTAACACAATTGTCTGATAAAAACTCGATCCTGGTTCAAAATTTCATATTACACCGTAAGATACGAGAACTAAAAATTTAATACTACCGTTTTTTCAACTTATTATTTCAATTTTTTAAAAGTAAAAATTAAATATTTTGTCCTATAGTTATTTTTACAATATTTATGAGTTTAAGAAAAGGGTTATGTATGCAAGCACATGCATGAGTTATAGAAGAGTAGGTAACTTACCAAAAGTAGTGCTTTGACCTCAGTAATATTGAGTTTATTTCCATCATCATCTCCTTCATCTCTAAGTGCCAATAAAGTAGTCAACAAATCTTTATGCTTCTCCCTCTTAGAATTAGAACTCTCATGTTCTTCAATAATGTTTGTTAAAAATGCATCAAACTTTTTGTGTAATATTTTCATTTTAGCTTGAACTCCTTGAAGATCTAACCATTCCAATGAAGGAATAAAGTCACTAATGTTGAAAACTCCACCTAACACCATCAATTCAAGAATCATATCTTTGAAGTCATCAGCTTTAGGGTCATTGCCACCATTCTCATCATTGAATACTCTTCTTCCTAACATAACCCTAGCAAGTGCATTGGTTGTACATACATTCAATACTTGTCCCAAATTCACAGCTTTTGTGTCTGAATAGTTACTTGCCAAATTACTTGTCAATCTTCCCGCCTCTTCCTGATAAATACAATTATTTAAGTTTTATTATCTGATACATTGATTATTTAATAAATTAAAAAAAAAAACCATAAAAAAATAAAAAGATTTGGTCAAAAGATTAAGAAATAGTCTTTGAAAATTTATTTTTTCTTCCAACACTTGAGAAAAGTTCAACTTTGTTTCACATCACATTAGCATAAATAGTAGGTTCCACTTTCAAATATTTTCTTTTTTTTTTTTTTATCAATATTTTTCATTTTAACCCAAAAAATTTGAAATGATTATTCTATATTATTTAGCTTAGCAAGTTTTACAAATCATAACATTCTCGTATAAACTTAATTATCAAAAGGCAAAGTTGTAATAATCATAAAAAACTCATACAGATAATTTTTATGATATTAACTAACCTCACGTAAATTTTGAAATTCAGCCATAACTTTGTTAGAAAATAGATGGACGGATGATATTTTCCGGAGCAACCTCCACCTTGGGCCATAAGGAGCGAAGACAAGATCTTGATAGTTGTAAACCATATGTTTAGCTCCAACATTAGGAGGGCGGCTAATAAAGTTAGCATCATGAACCTTCAAGAATTGTTCAGCCACGTCGGCGGAAGCGGCGACGATAACGTCTACAAACCCTAATTTGAGGTGCATGAGAGGGCCATAGGTTTGAGCCAAGGCTGCAAGAGATTGGTGTGGGGCAGAGCCTAAGTGAGGCATGTTACCTATTATAGGCCATGGTTTTGGTCCAGGTGGAAGTGGTAGTGAAGAAGAAGATGAAGATGATTTTGTTGCAAATTTCACTAAATAGTATATTAAGATAGATAATATGAAAGTGGAGAATGCGATGAACCAAAAAGACATGGTTAGTTTTTTGTGTTGTGATTATGAGATGATGAGTGATAAAGGAAGAAAGTATTTGATGTTTATTGTTGTGTAATTAATGTAAGGCTAAGCGGTTGGTATTTATAAAGAAAACAGGAAACGTTATGTCTGACTTTATGACTGGTAGACATAGCGGTCACTTGTGTAAATACCACCAACTTGTATTACAATATTCAATATTGGCTATTTTAATTTATTTGAAAATTCATCAAACTTTCATTTTTCACATTACAAGTTACACTTTTAACTATTAACAAAAGAGAAAGTGAAAAAATATTGTGTAACTTTAATTGTTATTAACAAGAGAGAAAGTGAAAAAATAGAGGAAAATAAAATATGAGAGGATTAACATATTCAAAGTTATGGTGACTTTGACAGTTCAAAGTCACTCAAATCCAACTCTCAAATCATACATGCATCTAAATTTTTAGATTCTAACTCAAATCAAAATTGGTGTGAAGAAAGAGTTTAACAATGTACGTCATATTTTACTTGTGGAATGATTCATCTTATGTGATATGAGAGTCTATTCAAATTTCCTTCTTCCAAAAAAAAAAAATAATAATAAATAAACGGTTTACAATGAAATAAATTATATACTAAATTATGTATAAGCAATTTTTCCAACACATTTTGTACATGTTTTTTTCCTTATTTGAATTATTTTCTTTATGAACTTATTAGAAGAATCAAGTAGTATTTGATAGTTAAGTAAGTGGGAGTTGTTGGTCTAAACTTTCTACTCAACTAACAACATATTTTTGTATTATTTTATAATATTATTAGTAAACTTTTTAATATTTACAAATTACCAACTTTAAAAAAAGATTATATTATTACACTTTTTCTTCCGTTTAACAACAATATTTCTCTTAAAGCAAGAAGGTATATACAATAGGATAGAATCCATGACTCCAAAAATAAAAGTGGAAGCGAGTGAATTGTATGAGTTTAAAAAATAATGTTTAAATAAAAAATATTTGATAATATCAGAGTTTAAAATAAGATTGTAAAATAAATAAGTAATAAATAGTATAATGTGAAAATGTCAGATCTTTATCAATAAAGATCAAGTACATAAGGAGGATTGCATAGGTGTTGAAGGGAAACTAGAATGACAATAGAATCTATCAATGTGAAAATTGATGATTCAATTACTAAAGAGAATGAGGATGTCAGAGACAATGTTGGAATATTTTGTGTACAAACTGATGGAGCACTAAGGAAGGAAATTTATGAATTCACAAGTACTGAATCAGTGAGTTCTTAATCCAACGAAGGTTTGTCTACTGAAGGACAAATAGAACAATCCAATGAACTGACTACAATTCACTATGATAAAGGAAACACCACTGAATTAAATATGAAGATATCAAATACTGATAGACGTTTTGTATTGAGGAATAATGGAGTTTTTGGATCAGTAAGAAGCAGTAGTGTGCTTCTTAGTATACTGTTGGAGATGAAGGAAGGGAAACAAGAAATAGTTTCTCTAAACTGGTGTTGAAGAGACATGATGTCAAGCAGGATATCATGACATTTTACATTGAAGATTTGAACTCTTTCAGATATCTCATTCAACATGGCTGGCACAAGGACATTGACGGTTTTAATAAACTAATCAAGAATCTTGTTGAAGGAAAAGTTGTGACTCTGGAGCATATGGACAACAAGAAACAACTTGATGTTATCAAAAATAGTGGTATTGAAACTTGTACTATTAAGGAGTTATATCAACACAGATATGGAAGAGTGCAACTAATACTGCATATTTCCTCTATACTCTGAGGCATGACATGCCTGGATAAATTGCTACTGTGAAGGGTTGGAAGTAAGATGTTCTACAAGATAGTGAAACTGGCTACAACACCAAGGGATGCAGAAGGCTCTTTGACATGAGCATGAGGCTCTTTGATAGAGGCAATAGGTGGATAACCACCCGAAGTTTGATTGAGTTTGGTTCAATCAGCTAGTGTGTGCTTCCATCTGTGTTTATTGTTTATATGTAATGTTTTTTTGTGCTTCCATCTGTGGTATTGTTGGTGTTCAATATGTGTTTTTCCATCTGTGTATAATTACTTTATTTTTTGTCAATATTTTGGCTAAAAAAGGGGAGTAAGGTGTTGTGTCCTGTTGTTGCATCACATGTCTTGACATGTTGATTTAGCATTGTGACAGGAGTGTATGTTACTGCTTTTGAGAGAGTAGATATGTTGTGTGTTTGTGCCAAAGCTATTGTTGTTTATGTTGTGTCTTCTGCTGCATGTGCTCTGATTTGGGGCGTTTCCCTTGAGAGGGAAGATTGATTGTGTATGACAGGGCGAGTAATAGACATGTCTGATTGTACAAGTTGTTTAAGCCGTGTTGTGGTTTTATTCCTCTCTCCAAAGTTTGTGTGCAAAGGTTGTTTTAGCCAAATTTGGTAAATGGGGAGATTGTTAGGTCTGTTATTTTATGGTTGGCAACAATTTTAGTAAAACAAAGAGTTGATAACTATTTTATCAAAATATGTTTCATTTGGAAAACATGCATTGCAGCCTAATATTGAACAAGATGTCATAACATCTTGACCAGCTGGTACAGCAGAGTCTACTAGTACCTTATTTGACAAATGTTCTATCAGATATTGTAATATGTTACAATAGAACATCATGAATGTTATTCTCTGAAATTATGATTGACATACATTTTGGTAAAACCAACCTGACAGAAACATGTTGAACAAAATGTTCCAACTTGTAGTTTTCAACATGTCGAATAAGATATCCCAACCAGGAGGATAAGACATCGTGTTTGCAGCAGCTGACAGTTATAGTTCAGTGAATAAGTTAGTTACTGAATATTCAAGGAATATTGTGTTAGCTTATGTGGCGTCCAAAATTGAAAAATCAGAGATTCTATGTTGGTTTTTGAAGATATTCAAAGTTTCTAAATATGGAGACATTTTAGGAAATAAATGATTGAAGACCTATTTTCTTAGAGAAGTTTGTGCAGACTTTGTGCAGCCTCATTGTTGTAATTTGAAGCCCAACCCAGTCCAAAATAATGTTATATATCGACTAGTGTATACCTAGTTCTAGGTGGAACTTACGTGTATATTTTTCTTAGGGTTTTATAATCCTTATTTATGAGCCTCTCTAATATCATCTTGATAGAAGATTAGGACTGTTTTGGGTTGTAAGTTCTATGAAGCATCCATAAGCTTTTAAGCATTGGATGTTTGTGTGTCAGATGCTCATAAGCTGTTAAATATTGAGTATTTGTGTGTCAGTTCTCATAATCTTTTAAGCATTGAGGATTGTGTGTCTTGGAAGAGTGACTTCTGTGTTTTTGTTCTCTATTGTGTTTAGAGTTGCTCCAATTGTTGAGTATGATTGAAGAGGGATTTGAGGAGGGCCTCATACCTAGGTGAGTTTTGGGTATAAGTTAAGCAAAGGGTAGTTTAAGTGCGTAGATTATAAACGGGTATTTTTGTTGTATGATCTATAAATTGATAATATCTAGTTGATTTCGTCCCTGGTTTGGTAGCCCTGAGAGTAGGATTGTTGCTCTGAAATGGGTAAACATATCTATGTGTTATTTACCTTCAGCATTGTTTATTTTGTTGTGTATATCCTGTTGTTACGTGTTGAATTTGGATCCTATGTCTCGACATATCTTAGGACATATGGGATCTGATAGCCTGAATTTCAATTGGTATCAGAGCAGGCATCATGCTCTGACTCTGGGTGAGATTCGGAGAAGTTACTTTCTGGTGCAATGGACAAGGATGGTGGAATTGTGGTTAAAATACCTTTTCTAGATGGTACCAACTATGACAATTGGAAACCTTGTATGGAAATATTCATAAAATCATTGGGCAAAAATGCCTGGAAAAATATTGTCAAAGGATGAGAACCACCAAAGGTTGTGGATGCAGATGGAAATGTTAATGATGTGTTGAAACTTGAAAAAGATTGGAATGGTGCTGGTGAATTATCAGCCCAAGGAAACTCCAAAGCATTGAATACCATATTCCATGGAGTTGATAAAAAAAATTTCGAGCTGATAAAGAATTGTAAGCATGCTAAAGCTGCTTGGGACACCTTAAGGAAAGTTCATGAAGGAAATTCTAAGGTAAAGATGGCAAAACTTCAACTTCTCTAGACAAAATTTGAGAACTTGAAAATGAAGGAGGATGAAAGTACTTAGGACTTTCACATGACTATTCTAGACATTGTTGATGAATCAGAATACCTGGGAGAGAAGATATCAGAGGTTAAGCTGATCAGGAAGATGCTCAAATCTCTTCCAAAAAGGTTTGACATGAAGGTGATTGCCATTGAAGAATCTCATGATATAAGAATTATGATTGTGGATGAACTTGTAAGCTCCCTTAATACATTTGAATCTTCTATCAATAAAATTCCAAAAAATAAGAAGAGTATAGCCTTTTCTTCTTATATTGAAGACTCAGAAGATTGTGGTGAGTTGAAATTAGAGAGAGTATATGAGGATCTTGTGTTACTAGGAAGACATTTCAACAAAGTGCTGAGGAAGTCCAGGTCAAATATCAAGAACATGTAATTCGACATCAATAAAAATCATGACATCATAGACTAAAACTGAGTTACAGTTCAAAAGTTATGAATTTTTAAAGTTCCATCGAAACCACAAACACCGACATCATACACTGACACCACAAAATCCCATTAAATACCAATTAAGTTTATTTCCAGAATATAAAACCATTTTTTACAAGAAATTACACTATATTAGCTTTCCCCAGTATCAAATGGTGCATCAAATGACACCCGAAGCTCAAGTTATGAATTTTCAAAGTTTTACAAAAATTGCAGCCAGAATTGAAGAAATCAATAGCAGTCGTACGAAAATCTCTTTCATCTCAATTTCAAAATCCAAAATTTCATGAAACATTGCATATTCAAACCCCAAAGTCTCATTACCATCAACTCGCATAATTACAACACCATTATTAA